GTTGTAATAACATCTCTTTGACTCTTTGCATTGTCGGTTTGTTTTTGTATTCCATATATATAAATGGTATGCAGTGGTATGAATTTACCAGAACTAAGTTTGCTTTGGAATATCAAAAGTCATATGAATGGAATAATTAAAACTAACATTTAAGTTGTTATTTTTTCTACCAGTTAACCTGCATTCGGGAATACCATAAGGCACCACAAGAAATGGGCAAGACTGCTGCAATAATATGTTTAATATGTTTCGAGAAGCACAACGTGCATCGAGAAGTTAGACAACCTCAAGACACAATATTTAATGCATTTATTGTGACTATTTTGATCTCAAGATGCTCTATCTTTATTCTGATCTGAACACACTCTATCTAAAGACACAATATGAATGTTTCTTCTGTATCTGTAAGTTCCATATGCATGCCTTGTTTGTTTATGTATTCCTCTCGTTATATTACCAATTTGGCAAAACCTCAAACAATGGATTTACACCAGCTAATATGTTTATGAAACCACCTAACATGTATCTCTTCTGCAGTTCACATGTACTATATGTTCTTTTCTCTTTGCATAACAACAAGCTCTTGACATTGTCGATGTATTATATTTGATATTGAAATATATGTCCAATGAAGGCAAGATAATGAAGCTTGAATAGGGATTCTTTCTATTCATGATGATTTAGCTGCGCTCACTGGGTTCACTATGTGTTATTAACATATATGCTTTTATCTTGCAGGATGACATGGAGAACACTATAACAAAATTTTTGGAACTAATAGGTAATTCTGAAACTAAATGTCAAGTAATGAGAAGTATTTCTCGTGTTGTTGCAATATATTGTGAAGAACTATCCCTTAAGCTTAAAAGAAAATTAAATAAATCAGTTGATCCAAATCAGATAGCCTACTTGAATCTTGATGATTTTTTTCGTATTAATTTATTTATATTTGTTGAGGATATGTTCAATTTATTTTAAATAGTATTTTGAAGGGTTGGTTTACTACCGTTTGTATTATTGAGATTTATACAACTGGCTTGTTTGTCCTTCATTTTTACCATCCAACGAAAAACACGAAAGATGAATCAGCATTAAGGATTTTGCTTAGTCAAGGGGACATAACCGACATTATTCAGAAATTGAAATCATTGCTCAATTTATTGAAACACGAATTAGATCTTGGCACCAAACAGAGTAACTCACTACATAAACATGTTCTATTCCTGCCATTCATATTTACTGATGCCTTAAAATTCATGCCATCAAATTCTGTGGATATATTTTAGTGCATCAATTATAGAGGTGTATTGTTTTATTCTAATAATTAGTTCTGGATATCGATCTAATTGCAGATGCATAATTAAAGTACATTAAGATGATAGTAAGGCTAAGAAGATCAACAAGGAAATTAAGATAAAGAGACGAACATGATGGATTGTGTGTTAAAAAGCATAAAAGGAAGAACGAAGTGAAGCACCAAAGCCAAATATTCTAATACATAGTAGATAAATGTAATAAATCGAGTTAACAGATTGTATTATACAATTGTTACGTTGTGACATTTTTATATGTTGTTTTTTTGTTTCTTTGTATTGTCTTGCAGTTATCATTTTTTGTTGTATCATGTTGCTTTTTGTTGTAATGTGTTGCATATTGTTGCATCGTGTTTCCTGTTGTTGCATTTTGTTGTTTAATTAAGTTTATATCTATCTTTGTTACTTTTTATATATATAAAATCATTGATGTACGTACATAAATACACACACACATAATCGATCATAAATTTCGATTTAGGAATATTAGCAACAAGAAGAAGCACGAAGAAACAACAAAAAACAACACTATAAAGGTTATCAACAAAAAGAAACACAAAGAAACAATATGCTATAAAAAGTAACACACACACGCACATATACATAATCATAAATTTCGGTTTACAAATATTAGCAACAACAAGAAGCATGGAGAAACAACAAAAATCAACACTATAAAAGTTATCAACAAAAAGAAACACAAAGAAACAATATGCTACAAAAAGTAACATTTTTGAAAAACTAAATTAGAAACTTCATTTTTTCCCGCTTTTAATATTTTTAACATGTTTACTTTTTGAAATTTCAACATTTTTTCCTAGCTTTTATATTTTAAAACATTACTCCCTCTGTCCCCCAATTAAGTTATCACTTTCCTTTTTGGGAAGTCCCTAAATTAAGTTCACACTTCATTACTTTCCTTATTTGGCAAATTATCTACATCAAAACAATGTCAAATAATGCAAAATAGTGCCAAACGGTGTCAAACAGTGTTTGAACAGTGCAAAACAGTGCACTCCACAGTAAAGTCAAATTTATTTTCTTAATAAGTGTGAAGTCAAACCGGGAACTTAATTGGGGGACGGAGGAAGTATTAGTTATACTAAGTTTTTTATTTTGTAAAATTTAAGATTTATATTCTTCAATTTTATTTTAATTAAAAAGTATGACTTGAATTTTTTAACTTTTTATCAAATTTTATGTGTTTTTTTAGATTTATCAGGATACGTTAGTCCGATTTGAAAAAATACTTTGAAAAAATACTTTGATAAAACTTTCTAGTTACTTTTCATATTTGATTAATTCTAAAACATGTTTTCCTTATTTTACATTTTTTCCTTATATTTTTAGGTGTTTAGGGCATTTAATCATATTTAGATCCATTTATTAAACTTTTAATTTATTTATATTTTTGACAGTTTATATTTTGATATAATTTATGGAGTATTTAACTATTTGAAAAAGTTATGTCATTTGCTTTTTTGTAGTTTTCCCACATTTTAGACTAACTCTAAATTTCTAACTTCTTATTTTCAATTTTTCTACTCCAATTTTTCTTATTTATTTTTCAAAACTTAAATCACCTTTTTTTCTATTTAAAATTTGATTTACAAGTTTCAAATTTCCATTTTTATTCTGCATTTATTGATTTTTTATTTTCTGATTTGAGGTTTTATTTGCTTTTTCAATTAAATTTGGAAAAATAACTTTTAATAATACCAACTATTATCCATGAACCACTAATAATACATAATTTGAAAATGACTTTTAATAATACCAACTATTTGAATGTAAAACAAAAATAATACGGAGTCACTTTTTGACAAAAAAAAAACTGGTCATTCAAGACATCAAAAACTAATGGCAACCCATCAAATAAATGATATTTGGAAATAAATTCACTTTTAGATATTTTGGTACAAGCTTTTGATGAGTTAAATGGTTAAATATTTAGTAAAAAATTGTTCTGTATCACTTTTGATCTATATTTAAATAGTTGGTATTATTAAACCTTATTTCCAAAGTACGTATTATTCTTGATTCATGGAAGATAGTTTGTATTATTTAAAGTTATTTTCCCTTTAAAATTTAATACAGAGTAACTTTTAACAATTTTTATATAAAAAAAACAAGAAATTCCAAATAAAAAATTGCTATACGGAGTGTTTACGAATCTGAAGTTAACATCCAAAATATAAATACATAGCACGTACAGTGGTGAGGAAGTGAGGATTAGACCTCCGTCCTCTGGCCTTAAACATTTTAAGTGGGATTCGACCATTTTTATGAGTTAAGTCTATTTATGAAAGGAAATGTTTAACATGTCTATTTTTGAAAGGAAATTTAAAAACTGAAAAAAGTGATATTATTTTTGTTTTTTGGTCTAGTTGTGAAAAATTCCTTAAAATCTAAAGTACGAAAAACTAAATAAATCTGCAAAGTATTACTCCAATTTTTTTTTTGTTGGACGGGGTAATTCGTCAACATGTTTAAAAAGGACAAAATCTTCCACAGGAGAATGTTCGGATTTTGTGACCAAATCTTTTTTAGAAATTATGTTGGAGGGGCTAGGGTTCACGAGTGCAGCTCCTCTCCATTTCTTTCTCTCCATTTCTCCTTCATTTCCTTTTTACTTCCTATCTATCTCTATCATTTTCTCTATCTTATTCACCAACATACTCCACGCTTCATTTTGTCCTCTCTATCTGTCTCATAATGAAACTCTCCATTAACCGGAGAGGATCCAAATTCAGGGTTCACCGGATGTGGGTGTATATTAGATAGAGGTAGTTGATTGACATCTGAATTACAAAACCAAACAGAAACAAGGACATCTCATATATGCGTACAAACCAAAAAGGGGCAACAACCCTAGAGAGAAGGCGAATGAGTGCTAAAGTGGGGAAGGGATGAGTATTGAAGTATTCTACTTACCCACTTTTGGGACAAGGTATGGGGGAGGGAGTATAGTAGTATTACTAAACTAAAGAGTAAATAGTCCTTAGTATGTCTTTAAATGAACAGATAAAAAAGTCAACTTCTCTCAAATAATATTACAATTACAATTAAAATTCAAATCATATTTATCTACATATTTAAAATTACACTTAAATTTCCATTGAATGACAAAAATTGAATTTAAATATGAACATTGATACTACGTATATAATTACTCCCTCCGTCCCATAAAATAAGTCTCATTTTCCATTTTGGGCCGTCCCAAAAAATTGTTCCCATTTCCCTTTTTGAAAAGTTTTGTGTGGCTAACATTCATTTACCTTTTTCTTACTCAACCACAACCATACAACCATAAACTCCGATCCAAGTCAAAGTGAGACTAATTTTCCGGGACGGAGGGAGTAGTATATAACAATAGAGATTGAAAATGAACTACTCGGGTGAATAAGTAAAAATTGGTACCCTCATTTTAGACAAGATAGTAACTAATTTTACCAATAAAATGAAATGTATCATCCTATATAGGAGTATGTGTAATAGTGTATAGGAGTATAAGAGACATGTGGAGTAAATAACAATAGTGTGTGTGACATAAATAATAGATGCTCTTTCTGTCATTTAAAACTTTATCAACTTTCTTTTTTAGTTGTCACACTCACTTTGTCACTTTCACTTTTATGTAAAGAATTTGTAATTTCAGTTAATTCTCTATCCTTTACACAAATCACAATCACACAATTTTTACTTTATTAATTCTCGTGTCAATCAAACTTAGTCAAGTTTTAAGGGACAGAGGGAGTACAAGTTAAATGCAAACTAACTTCATATCATAGGCTTCTCGAGGACACTACATATTCATCGATCTTACATGGGAGATCAACTTCCCTAGATCCTCTATAATGGTGAGATTACTTATTTGTTTTAAGAGTAAGTCGGAGAGAATATTCTAACTGTACATTATAGAGAAACATATTCTCTGTAAAGAACACTTTTAATGGCCCTAGACTTTGCTCCAATTTTAAATGAAAACTGCCAATACTTTTGGGATATTCAAAGAATGGCTCATTAATATATTTTTTTGTGGCAAGTCTTATCGCAAGGGTAAGGGCAGTCAATATTTTGGAAAGAACTCCGGTCATAATACCAGTCTCCAACTGCTTCAGCTATCGTCTGCAGCATAAAATGAGTGAGTTAGCAAATCGCGCAAACGGAGCATTTTATTAAACATTCGAGAATTTAGAACAACAAAGTGGTGTTGGATCCATTGGACCACAACTTGAGGGGATAAATGAGCCAAATTAACTAGACCAGACTACGATAGGGTAGCCCAGTCCACATTGACGTCCCAGCAAGGCGATGGGTTGATAAAGGATCCCACCGCAAGTCTTCGCTTCTAATTTTTCGGAAGAGGATGCTCCCAAGATAATACTATAACAGATGTGCCAAGCATCCCCTTCTCGAACCCATAAATTGGATCTAGGACACCTCCAACAGTCCTTAAAGTAACTGACCTAAATAGGAGTAAAAACCTTTTCTCTAAATAGGAATTCACGTCTAATCTTCCCTAAATAGGAGTAAACATTAAGGATGTTTTCTTTTAGACTGTAATTTGCTAGTCTGGTCTGATCTGGTCTGAACTGATCTAGTAAATGTCTGGTCTCTGTATATTTTATAACTGTCTAAGTCTCGTCTGTTGTTTTCTGCTTAAGTCTGGTCTGGTACTAAAAATAGTCCAAAAGAAAGCATCCTAATTAAGTAATTATCTACCCTTAATACCCCTATGCTAACTAATCAATTGCCCCCGAGTAACCATGGGCAACCAGGTCATTCCGTCGGTGACAAGGCAGTCTGGCGGTGGTGGAGGCAGCGGCGGCAGCTGACGGCGGAGCTCCCGTGACTGGCGACGGTGGCACTGGGAAAATATTCTGGGATTTTATTGGCAGCGCCGGAGCTCCGACGATCAGCGGTGGCATCCAGTGGAGCTCCGGTGATCGGCAGCGGCATGGGGTGGAGCTCCGGAAATTGGCGGCGGCATCTTGTGGAGCTCCGGTGATCGGCAGCGGCGTCGGGTGGAGCTCCAGCGATCGGCGGTGGCGGGGTCTGGTGGAGCTCTGCAAAAATACCTGCAGAGGTATTTTTGTGCAATCCCTAAAAAAACCTACTTTGGGAATATTCAAACTACTACAATTTTTTCCTTTTGTCTTGTTTTACTCCTAGTTTGGGAATTTATCTCTTATACTTGTATATTAGATACATAGCTTGTAAAGATTCATTGTGGGGCACTTTAACAAGTCTCACATCAGAATATTTCAAAAAAAAATAAAAGATGAGCTTATAATTGAACTAACTAATTCATCCATTTTTAGTGATCTTAGGACCCAAGTATTTTTATCAGATACCATTTGGACAAGAAAAGAAAGTAGATGTAAATGTGTGATGAATGCTCAGGTACACGTTTACCTTGCCATCCAACATTGGAGAGATAGGAGACTCAGTGGTGAACCATGTCTCCCGGACTTCAGTTTGACAGTGCGCATAGCAAGAGTTAATGAAGTACCCTCTCAATGAAGCAGGGCCAAGTCCTTTGAATGCCTTCAAAAAATCCATCCTAAAACCTAGGAAAAGAATGAAAGGTCAACTGTACAAATAATTTCATTCAATATAACAACATCAATTACATCACAATGCGAAGAACCTAAGATATACTCCGTACTTATATGAATGGTAAATGTGTAGTCCATATATCAGATTATAAGGTATGGGGTTTGAACATATGCATCATAGCAAAAGTAAAAATAAAAATTAAAGTGATTAACTTGTCAAAGAATAGTGTATAAAATTACAACAGGTATGAAAATATGATAAAAGTGAACTAGTGAAGGCCACATCCAGTACTTACCTTGAATTGTTGTAAGCTGAGGTCCAGAGCATTTGGATATGTTAAGCTTGCAGCGATGCCATGTCCCATGTGTATCAGCAACCTCAGGAGCCAAAATGTTCCTTATCTGAAGTCCAACAAATTTCGATAACACTCTTTAAAACCACCATAAAAAATATTACTGAAATAATATCGTCTTCTACTTTTAAATTCCAAACGAGAGATTCGGAAGCATTTACCTGCCAAGCATCATAAGCTGCATTGATTAGAAAGAGGGGTGTTTGGATATATTGTACCATGTTTTGAGGGAAGAAACACTGCAACAACAATAGCAACAAGGTATTATAGATATTGGCATGATGACATTTACTGTCTAAATTTACCAAAGGAATAGCCTAAAGCCTTAAGTGTTGGATGCCTAGTTGGTAACATTCCGATGTGGAACGATTCAAAACTACCGAGTACTAACTAAGACTGGCAAAATCAAGAAATGGTTGTACTTACCAAACTTGGCTTCATCTTAGATGTGCAAGAAGCTGGCAAACTCTTGGCTGATCCCTGAAAATGGATCCGCATTAAATTCCTTTTGAATTTCAATTATGTTTCTTCACCCCACTTACATGTTTTTATGCCATGTTGAGTTTTGTAGAATTTTATATGTTCAATTATTTAAATTAATTAATTCAATTATCCATTCAAGGTAGAGTTTCTCTTGAGCAGATTAAATTTGAAAAAATTTCAGCGATGGAAAATTTCAATTAAATGCTAAGAAGAATATGCCACACATACATGTGTTGCAACAAGATCATCGTAGAACTGCTCAATGTGTGATGTTCCATGAATATCCAATCTGTCAAATAAAAAGGCGCCAACATTTATTTGTATGCATCAACCAATTACCAATATAAACACATGTGTATGTATCTACGATGAGAAATCTTACGTGTTAATAAAGTAACCTGCATCTGCAAAACATTTTACTTTAGCACTCGCTGGGATGAGAGCTCTGAATTGGTCACAATGCAATATGGAAGTCAATCCTCCCGCTGAACACCCGGACAAAACAGCCTGTACAGTTAAATCTTAGTTTATGTGGTATAAAGAAATATATTTTTTGCGTTATCTGGTAGTAGTATTTTTCATTGATGACAAAGACAAGTGTTTTACATTTTTTGCATCCTTCATCCCTTTGGCAAGTAAATCCTCTATAACAGCTACAAAGACTCTTGCACCTCTGAAGTGAAGATTCGTTTTCTGGTCATATATAAAAGACACTGTCCATTAGCTCATACATATAGAGTTGTAGATAACAACTCCTCATACCAATCTTGAAGATTGTGTCCTCGGTTCTAGGGTCACCAAAACTGACCAATTGAAGTATTGAATGAATATAAACTACTCCCTCCGTTTCCATTTGTTTTACACACTTTGACTTGTCAAGGATTAAGGAAAAAAAAATTACTGAGGAATAAATTTTACTGTAGAGTACACTGTTTTAACACTGTTTGTCATTGTTTGACACTGTTTTGATATAGATTTGTTTACCAAATAAGGAAATAAGGGAGTGTGTCATTCATTTTGAAACATCCAAAAAAGGAAAGTGTGTCAAACAAATTGAAATGGAGGGAGTATAACCTAGACAAGGCTTTATAAACCTGCAAAGCAAATAATCTACAGAAACTAACATGCATACCGGATCCACTGCTTCAACATCCCCAGTATAGGATGACCCGTCACAATATCTAACCTTGACTCGATTCCAATTGTAGAAGTCTGGAAGTTTAGAGTATGATTAAAGGTTGTGTTAATGAGGCTGGACACTATTAGCATCCATTAGAAGAAGAAAATGAAAAGTTACCTCGATTTCTTACATGGCCGTTACCCAGAAGCCCTGAAAAAGCAACCTGCTTTTCCATTTTTGTGGAAGATCCTAACCGAGTATCCCTACGGGCAAGGCAATCTGTAACATTATTACACCACGCTCCTCCCTGATACTCCAAATATAGAAGAAACACATGCACCATTGAGATGCTAAAATTGTTTAATGTTCCATATCAAAATATTATATACATATGAGTTTATAAAATTTTGGTATTATAAGTTTTATAAGAAAATGTCATATTAATAAGTGTGTACAACCTCAAAATGGATTAACCAATTATTAACTCCTGCTCCGGATCCTCGAGCCATATGGTACGCCGGTGGACTTCCATCCAAACAGACTGCATCATTTTAAAATGGAAAAAGAATACTCCGTAAAAAATTAGCAATGATAATGGAAAAGAAAAACTAAAGAAATTACAAGTCTAGTTCACCTGCTCCTTTTGGAACAGCACTCTCAACATAAGTAATATCCACAAAGAAGCCTTCTGTTCTCAAAGCAATAAGCATAAAACAAGCCAATCCATACACCGATTTTCGCAGTCCCACATTTGTCATACTCCTGCAAATTTATAACATATTAAGTCTATCAACTCATACACACTATGATAAGAACTAAGAAAGATAAACATGAAAATAGGACCACAAAGGAGTTCATTTAAGGCTCTGTTTGGAAACAATAATAATATGCTAATTTTGCTCAACCCTTTTAAGTTTTGACTTGCTAATTATTTGGAGCAAAATGTATTTTATCAAATGCTACTAATTTCCGAAAATTCAGCAGATTTTCCATAACATCTCAATCAAATAACTATTACCAAAAGGATCTAAATCTTGAACTAATCTTTGAAGTGAGTGTAAGACATGCATATATATTAGAGCTAATTTTCACAAGCATAGATATCCCGATAACAGTGCTACTAATAGTGTATTCTAAAATACATAGATACTCTTCAATACAGTACTAATTTTCATCATCATTTCATTCAATTAAACATTAGTTCTACTGAATATTGAATAACCGATGTCAGTTGTAATCAAGATGTTATGAGTGAATAACTTAATGTGAAGAAAGAAAAGACAGAAAACATAAAATGATAGTACGAACCTTTGTTGAATTAGATTTACTAGTTTTGGAGCTTTCCCAGAGATAGAACGAGGACAGACCGTCTTCGACCAGCTGTGTGCATTTATGGGGTAATACTTCTTTATTGCCTGGCGTTTCTTTTTTTCTTTTTCCACATGACAATCCTGGCAAAAAAGACATCTTTTTACTTGTTTTGCACATTCTTCAGTCTTCACCGACAAAACCAATGAAGAAAAAATTACACTCGTGATTCTAGGAGAGCCCATTTGCTAACCACTTTTTTTGGGTTATCAGCCAACTCTTTCGCGGTAACTTTTGATAAGTAGAAAAAGTAAGGTTGTAGTTACTTTTCTAGTTGTATTGGATGAAATTACTGTAGAGGATCATTTTAGCTACGTAGTATTTTTTATACTCTCTCAGTCCCGCTAGAAGGTTCCCGTGAACGGTTTACGATGTTTGATTGTCGATAAAGCAATTTAATCCCTGTTCACAATCTGTTTATTTTTAGTAAATAAAATTAACATATTCAGAAACTACATTAAAACCGCTACAAAGTCTGATTAAAAAATATAAATTTGGCAAAAAATTGATTTATAAAGTAAAAGATTAAAAATGATTTAAGTTGACCATGAGAATAGTGGACGGGAACCTTCTAACGGGACGGAGGGAGTACTACGCATAATTTTTTATTTCATTTATTAATAACAATTATTTTAAATATAATTTTTCATGAATCACCAGAATCAGCCAATACAACTACTTCAGCCAGAACTTCATAAATTTCAACAGAATCAGCCAATTCAACCTATTTTAGTGTTACCAAACGGGTCGAATAAATGGTAAAATGAACAGTTCGATATGGTCATCAATTTCAGTTTATTGAGAATCAAAAGACTCGGTAAATTTTAATCCGTGAATCAAATTATTAAATCAAAGGAAAATATACTGAGAAGTTGTTTTGTTCGTCTTATTCTTATTACCTATTGCTTATTCTTATTTTATTCAGATCATATCAGATCTGAAAAAATCAGATCAGAAAGATTCAGATCAGATCAGACCACATCAGAACCATTCAGATCAGATCAGATCAGATCAGATCAGACAAGATCAGAACCATTCAGATCAGATCAGAAACATTCAGATCAGAAACATTCATCAGAAAAGTTCAGACATGATTTATCTCTTTTTCTTATAATAATAATAATAATAATAATAATAATAACAACAACAACAATAATGATAAATATCATCATTGTTTTTGTTTTTGTTGTTGTTATTATTATTATTACTAATACTATTACCATTATTATTACTATTATTATTTTTACTATTACTATTATTACTATTACTATTATTATTACTATTATTTTTATAATAATTATTATTATTATTGTTATTATTATTGTTATTATTGTTACTTTTGTTACTATTGTTATTATTATTATAATTAATATTATTATTATTAGAATTATACGGAGTAATAATAATTGTAATTATAGAAATAAATATTATAATTACAATTAAAATTATAATTATAGAAATAATTATAATTAAAAATATAATTAAAATTATAATTATAGCTATTATTATATTTAGAGTAATAGTTATAATAATTGTACCTATTATAAAATGTCAATTTTAATTATAATTACATTTTTTATAATTATGATTATAATTATATTTAAATTATATTTATAATTAAAATTATAATTATAATTATAATAATTATATATATAATTTTAGAAATATTCAAATCAGATCATATCAGAAAGATTCAGATGAGATCAGACCAAGTCAGAATGATTCAGATTAGATCAGAAAGATTCAAATCAGATTAGATCAGAAAGATTCAGATCAGATAATATCAGAAAAATTCAGATCAGATCAGAACTTAAAAAATTCATATCAGAAACATTTTCTTGGATAGAATGAGTCACCTTAATTGGATAGAATATATCCACTGTTTCTTGGATAAAATTACTAAACCCACTCATTTTGATTATGCCTATATATTTATGGTTACACTCTTTTTAGACTACTACATATATAGAGGAGACCATTTTCTGTTAACCGTGATATTGATTAATATATTGTTAAAATCATTATTCGTATCATAACATTGGTTAATCGGATATCGGTTAACCGAAATTTCGGTTAACCACTAATCTGTTAACCAAAAAATCATGAAAAAGAAAAGAATAAACTCATCAAATACTCCGTATTAAACATGGGGTATTTTGAGTTTGCACCCCATTTTATTGTCGAAATTAGACTTTGCACCCCGTTTTTGAAATCTTTAGTATTTGCACCCCAATCCCGTATGAAAAGACTAAAATGCCCCTCAATTAACAATTTTGTTGGCCTTCAACATAATCCTGATCGAGGGGCATTTTTGTCTTTTCATACGAGGTTGGGGTGCAAATACTAATGATTTCAAAAACAGGGTGCAAAGTCTAATTTGGATAATAAAATGGGGTGCAAACTCAAATTATCCCATTAAACATCTTATTTGTTAAAAAATACATAAGCAGTCCAAGATTAAATTATAAACTTTTACATAGCATCAACTTTTCCAAAAACACTCCCAGACTTCGAAACTTAGGGGGTGTCCTCAATTGGAATTTCATAAGATTTTAAAGGATTAAGATCAGGGGCGGTCCTAGGGGGTGGAACTGGGGCGACCGACTTAGGCCCAAGAAAATAGGGGGGAAAATAGGCCCAAAAATATTTCTTTGTGTTGTATGAGTAGGCTTCTTTTTTTAATTTTTAAGTTCAACTAATTGGCTCAAGGTTTAATTTTTTAAATAAATGTAAGATGCACGCCTCTCTTAATTCTCTTTAGATCTCTAGGTTTTATTATCCTTTTAATTACAAAATTACCAAGTCATGTTAAGCCTCCCATGTCCAAAACTCCCAACTTGTAAAGCCCATCCAAATTGATTTGGTGTTTCCGAAATCCAAAATCAACAAGAGTAGTATAGAACGCTGCAAGGCGGTGAGTGCCTCAAAGGCTTGTTAAGAATTGAAGCCAATCAATCGATGAGCCCAAACGGCGGTCGGTGACCAAAAAAACTTCTTTCAAGGCTTCAAACAATCCAACAATGATCAATAAATTGTTCTTGATAAAGTGTATGAATCGGGTTGGGATAAAAAGAAAAAGAGAAGAGGATTAGAAAAGACAGGCTTAAGTTAGAAGGCGAAACTTTTGTTTTTGTTGAGAAATTGAATCTTGAAACTTCCGTGACAAACGCTTATAAGTAATGTTTTTCAAAGTTCAAGATTCAGATGAATTATCCGTGATCGACTATGTCTCAAGAAAGGCTTAAAGAGTTAGCAATTTTAAGCATTGAGCATGAGATATTTGAAAAAGATGATTATGAAGTAATCATTGATGACTTTGTTTCACAATGTTCTGCGATAAAGATTTCTAAGTAACGTTTTTCTTTTTATGTGATATATTTGTGTTGTATCTTTTCACCAAATATGTAATTTAAATAATAATAATAAAATGAGTTTTGTTTTTATTTAATAACCTTTATTAGATCATTTTATTACAATTATTATTTTAAATAAATATATTTTATAATTAGTCTTGAATATAAGCTCAAAATATTATCTCGCACATAGGTCCGGAAATAGAGAGGACCGGCCCTTATTAAGGGGGTGTATTGTATTAATAATTGGTGGCAAAATTTTAAAAGTACATGGATTTAAAAGTTAATAGAATTCATTCATAAAAAAGTGTATGGATTTAAAAGTGCACAAACTTTTTAAAAAAACCATAGATTAAAAAAAGTCCACCACAATTTATATTCAATACATCCCTCTAAGATTGTAATGGGTTTTTATGGAATTGCATAGAATCTGTGAGATTCAAATCAAATTCATAAAAATTGAAATCCCGTTCTATTCTCAGCAGTCCTGCTTCCACAACTGAAGAAGGAAAGGAGCAGATATGTAATTCTAATCGGAAAAGTAAAAAAAAATGGATAACCGATTCTCAGCAGTCCGACTTTCGCAACTGAATAATTTCGGACTTGAACGGCTTCAGCCATTTTCAATCGGCAACCTAAAGGTGAGGTTGGGTTGATTTGAAAGACAAAATAAAAGGAAAATGGAATGTTAGAGATAATTTCCGAGGCATGGTGGAAACCGGAGAGAAGGTGGTTGAAGAGAGGAGAGTTATGTGTATCAGTGTTTCTAAAAATTAGTCTTAAATTATGTGTATTAGTGTTTCTAAAAATTAATGTAACTATCTTGGAAATATACTCAAATTCCTAATATAATCAAGATTATACATTCTAATTACCGTCAAACAACAACTATAAAATATTTGTAATACACAATTAATGCTCTTATAAATTTTTTACAATCTTCTTGTACAATATAGGATGAATCTAAAAATTATCTAATAAATAGTATTTTTATTTTCTGAGTTATGAGGTAGTTATTTGTCATATAGATATTAGTCACCTCATCTGTCTCATTAAGTGCATCTCAATGTTTCTTTTTACGTGTTTCATTAAGTTTTTCGTATGCAATATTTGATAATATTTTGATGGTCATATACACTTTTTCATTCATCTTTATATCGAATATTGTGTTTACTCTATTATTGTCATTTAACTAGGATCGACAAAATTTAGGATGTTCTTATCTGTGCTATTTTCGATCCGAGACTAGAATGAACCAAATTTTGATAGTTGAATAACACACATAGAAAAAACACGGACGCATATAAACAGACATCTAAGGATGTTTTTAGTTGGACTGTAATTTACGAGTCTGGTATGTTTAAGTCTTATTTGATCTGGTCTGGTCTGGTAATCGTCCGGTCTCTATGTAATTTATAACTATGGAAGTCAAGTCTGGTCTAGTATGTGGTCTGTTTAAGTCTGGTCTGGTTTGGTTTGTAGGGGTGGGCAAAATAATCGAACCGGCATGGTACCCGAACCGGCCCGGTATGGTACCGGACCGGAAAACGGGATTTTAAACGGTTCTCAAAAAATTTGTCCCGAACCGGACCGGACCGATTCGAAACCATGTCATGACCGGTTCTCATAAAATGAGAACCGGTACCGGACCGAACCGAATTATAATTTTATTAATTTATATAATTTTATAATTATATATATGTATACCATATTACCATTAATTTGATTACTCATTTGCACTTTGCTAATTGCTAGTTAACCGGATCGGTAAAAATGAATAGTATTATATGAAATTCATTAACTA